CCTTGTCGAAAACCGAAACAGTTGCGCAAACGCAGGGAGGATTATTCTATTAGTTATCAAATGTCAGCACTGCAGATTGACACAGGCTAACAAGCTGTATCATTGTGAAGTAGATTTTTTCCCACTGGCAAAAGAAACGGGAATATGTGAGCCTGTTTCTGATTGGCTGAACAGACATATGTTTATCCTCCACTCTTCTATGACTAGCTCAGCTGACGTTGGATACTTACATATTTACATGCTAGTGGGAGGATTATTCCAGAGGAGAACAGGTTCGTGATTAATGAAATGTAGGCACTGCACAGTATTCGACGCAGGGAGTAATTTCACTTTGATGGAGTTAAACGGCCTATCTGAGATGGATTTGTTCAGGAGGATCGTGTTATTCACAGATGGGTTCATGGGAGCAGGGATTATAGAGGCCTGAAGAGAGTGAGTTGAAAGGCTAGTGCGGATGTTGTAAAACTTTTGTCATTATCAACATCATAAATAACAATTTAAGGACCTTTGTGAACTGATTTTTGCTCTCTGGAGTTAGCTTGATAAAACCTGTCTAATACGGCTATCACCCAGCTTTCCCTCCTGATAAAAAAAGGGTTTATGAGCATAGCTTTCATTTATCTAAAAAAGCTCAATGATAACACTTGAAACCTGCTGTGGATACTTATAAAAGGATCTTTAAGTCAGGCAGGAAATATTTCTTATCATTTTTCATGATTCATATTATGCCTAATGAGAAATACCTATGTCAAACACCTCGTTTCGGATATCTTTTTGTGTGTTCCACATCTTTCTTCAAATATCCACAAATGAAAATGTACGTCTATTGATATATCGAAGAAACCTCCTTCATAGTTAGGTATGAACTCAGATTGTAACAGATTGTCTCTCCTGCTAGAGACACACATATCAAAGAATAGACAAACAAATTATAACAGGAATTTTTACTCTGATTTTGTTGATATTTTTTTAAATACACATATCACAAAATAAGAATTCATGTAGAAAAAGAATTATTGAAAAATAACATGAAGAGTATCATTAGGCTGCTACAGCATTTGAAATTTAGCATGAAAGTAGAGGGGTTCTTGATTCCATAACGTCAAAAGTTTACACATTTAAGTGTCCCTCGATACAAATACTATAGGGGCAATTCTCTAGGTCCCTTGGAAGCCCCTAATCCAAACATATCTGATACATATGGTACAATCATATGGTACAATCAGGTACAATCAGGTACTTGGACCACAAAGCTTCCCTCTGTCACAGCATGGGAGTGTGATTATTTAGTCTTGGCAGTTTCCAAAAGCCAGTGTTTATGCTGCAGCCTGGAAAAGCTGTAGTTAGTAAGATTGACGATCCATTACTGAATACTGCGAGTCAATTGAGGTGACAAACTGCTAGCTCGCCTCTGAAGCAACTGACAAACTGCTGTCTAACTGTTGTGAGCCTGTCTGTACCAGACTCTATTACAAGTGCTCCAAGTGATGACTTTGATCATAGTGCGAACATAAAGACCTTTTGGCTCCAAATCACAGATTCATAAACCATTGCTGCTTCAATTTCACGCTGAATGACTGCTGTCTGCTCTCCAACTGACTGATATTTATTCGGGAACGCAGCGATAGTCCTCCGGCATTGACTATAACTGTAAGCAGCAAGTCAAAAGCCAGTAAATCATATTATCATAGTCCACTCATGCACTTGATTATATTCAAGTGTAAAAATATATTTTACTGCATTGGGAAAACGGAAAATCTGATGGTAGGATTAGATTTAACTGAGTGCAGAAGCATTAAGGAATGTTAATAAATCAGGTACATGTGATGTGACTACAGGACTGAGCCTTGTAAGAACAAGATTAGCAGTGTGAAATGGAAGACCCTGCTATGACCCTTTAACAAACTCCCTTATTTACAGGTTTGGCTGAAGCAGTAGACTGACACCTCACATCAAACTGATCAATACATCTCAATCTAAAGTCTTATGATTAATGACCTGGAGAGCTGATTTTGACATGCTGACTGTAAATCTAGACGTTATCTTCACCGAAGTTTCTGATGTCAAAATATGCCAATTGTAAAGGCATAGAGCCGCCATGTCCAGCAAGAATGATCTAAGTGCAGTTGAAGTGGATGAAAGCAGCTATCTGGACATAGATTTGGTATCACAGCAGCCAGCGTGTTTCTCATTTCTAGACAAATATTTGTCCATTAGCTGTGTAATGATGATGTTATTAAGATGTTGACGATAAGCTGGGTCGGACAAGGTGGGAACTATAACCCTGCCTATCTGTACCTGATAATCTCGGTCTCATTGCCAGGGCTAAACGCAGGTGCTTGAAGGAGGACTGAGGATGATATGGGTTCAGCTCAGCCAGGTATTAAGGGTTGGTTGGGTTTCCTCAGAAGGTAGGGGCATGGTGAGGTGAAATTGGGTTTAACGTCGCGTCCAAGATTATTGCATTTATATAGCGACGTGCATACACGTGTCTGTGTGTGGCTGCTTGTACTAGTCCGGAGTGATGCCGATTTATGTGCTAGCTCACTGAGATACCATGCCGCAGTTTAACATGAATACCCCACTCAGACACAGTATACTGACTCCGAGCCGACCAGTCCTTGTTTTAGCCCCTTTATGCCGAGCGCCAGACAGGGTAACAACAAGTACCATCTTTTAACGTCTTTTGGTATGACACGGCCAGGGATCGAACCCCGGACCTTCCGCTCTCCGGGCGGACGCTCTACCACTAGACCACGGAGGTAGGGGCATGGAAATGAGGGAATGGTTTCATGTACGCTGCTCAGCTGGCATCGGTGTCAACAGGAAAGACAATCTTTGGGGTGTACAGGAAGGTGTGACTATATGTTTCCATGGGTGTTTTTGTTGTTTGTTTGTTTGTTTGTTTGTTGCTTAATGCAGCACTCAGCAATATTCAAGCTATATGAAGGCGGTCTGGTAATAATCGAGTCTGGACCAGACAATCCAGTGATAGACATCATGAGCATCATTGCACACAATTGGGATACAATGACATGCATCAACCAAGTCAGCGAGCCTTACCACCCGATCCTGTTAGTCGTCTCTTACGACAAGCAAATCTTCACAGGTGTTTGAGGGAATGGGGGTAGCTGTGGTGGAGGGAATGGACAGGATCCAGCAGTCAGAAAATGATTTGTTAGATGTGGGAATCGAGTAGTGGGAAAAGAGAATGGGTGGAGATGGTGATATTGTGGGGATGGATGTAGTTGTTGGGATTGGGGGAGATGTGGGGTGCAAATGAACAGGTTGAGGTGGTAGGAGAAAGTCTTATGGAGGAGGTAAGAAGCAGTGAGGAACGGGTGGGATGGGCAGAGACAGGGTTGACGAGATGGGTGGTGTTGTTGAGTAGGAATAGGGTAGCTGTGGTGTAGGTGATGAACAGACGAGATGGAGAGGGAAAGTTTTTATAGAAGTGGGAATTGAGCTGTGGGGAAAGAGTGAGTGAGTGAGTGAGTGAGTGAGTGAGTGAGTGAGTGAGTGAGTGAGTGAGTGAGGTTTTACGCCGCTTTTAGCAATATTCCTGCAATATCACGGTGGGGGACCCCAGAAATGGGCTTCACACATTGTACCAATGTCAGGAATCGAACCCGGGTCTTCGGATGCTTTAACCACTAGGCTACCTGACCGCCTGTGGGGAAAAAGTTGGGATGGGGTAGGTATAGGGTACAGAGAGGAAATAAGCAGAAAGTGGGTAGAAAAGGTCTGCACTGTGTCCACACTGGTTCGAGTGAAGGGGCCACTGATATGAGGACAGTCTGACAGACTTTCAAGTTAAAACGACAGGATCTGTGACTACAGGTGCATTTTACAACTTCTAATCCTCTCCTAATTTCATTCCAGCTAGATCATGAAAGTAGTTTTGTCAAACATGAATAGCAGTAAATTAGAGCATCATGTAAAAACGTTAACCTCTTAGCTGCCTTTGTATACTGTCCCTGGCTGTATTTGTTGAGTTTAGGGAGTGGATGTTGGAAATGAAAGAGACAGTCTAGCTCAAGTAGGCTGGCGATTTTGGGAGGGATATGTAAATACCCGCTTAGTCTTGCAAATACATGCATGCTTATTTCAACATCTGAACGTTTTGTGCTTTTATTCAGGACTTGTTTCAGCTTTTTAAACGTCACTTGTGAGGTTAAGATAAGTGTATTTAAACCTTAGCATGTTAAGTAGCTCACTCATGTAAGCAAACAAGTTTCATTGTACCAATTGAAAACTGACAGGTGTTCATTTCCAAATAAACAAGCATCTATTCACACAAAATTCAATCTTTTCGTTTAGTTAAAAACAATTTTGCTAATACAGATATTTCATTGTTACACTGACATGAAAAGTATGCAACATTTCCAAATGTTGGTGATACGTACTGAGATATATACACGATGTCGTTTGAAATATGACATTGATTGACATATCAACACTTGTCAATGTCAGGTGTATATAGCGTTCATCCGTTGACACGTAAAACACTACATATCCTCATCAATCACACTAACATAAACTTGCTGACAGACAACTCCTCTTTTTAGGCCAGTGTGACAAAGTTAAAGACCTGACTACATCTTGAATGTCAGTTTTAGGCTCTTATTCAAGAAAGCACTTACATGTGAGCAGAGGTCGAGCTTTCTGCTCGCTACTATACCAAAGATATCTTCCAGCTTGTAATTCACAATCTATCTGGAAATTGTCACAAAGTGGGTGAGAAAGTTACTTCCATTCCTTCCTTGATAGAAATATGATGAAAAGAAATTGTTATGAAATGTTGTATTTTGACATGATTGATGTTGAACTTGGAAAAAGATCTTTAATATTGACGCACATTGTCAAAAATAACCACCTCATACCAAATTCAGCAACTGTTATGCCACACATACCAATATGATTCTAAATAATTCTGAATTATTTGTCTGGTTGACTTTGTTACTGACATGTATAGTATATGGTTCTTCTCTACATTGCAGGTCCAGGTGCCCCTTCTCCAATGAGAGCAGTGCCCCGACAGAGGTAGTCTGGCGCTACTAGCCACGGCTGTAAAATGTGGCGGTGGCAGAAGGATGAAGCGATTCAGTGCCCCGCCCTTGTCCACGCCCACACAGTACCCTGATCCTTCCAAGCCCCCCACGGGGGAGGCGGAGGATGAGGCCTCCCTCAGTGATGGAAGCAAGAAAGTCAAGACGGCACAGTCGTTCGAGTCCTTGTTTGACAATGAGACACTTAGTGATGTGGTGCTCAACGTGAACAACAGTCAGTTCCTATTCCATGCTCACAAGATGATCTTGGGTATGAAGAGCGATGTTCTTGCAACGCTGTTGAACAACATGGCAATTGTTGAGGGTCAGAAGCCTGTGTTGTTTATCGCAGAACCTCAAGAGTGTTGTCTGGTCTTCAGTAGATTCTTGTACTTCATCTACAGTGGTGCGGTCTGGCTGCATCGCGATTACGTCATCCCGCTGTACAAGTTGGCCGAGAAGTATGCAGTGCGTTCATTGTCCTCGCACTGCGAGAGCTACATACATCAACTATTACAGAATGGTGTTGGGGCAAACGGTGAAAGTACTCGTGCAGGGTTTGCTGTTGAAACAGTCTGTGATTTATGTGAAAATAACACTAGCTCTGAGGAGATTCATAATATATCCTACAGCATTCTGTGTTCGAGGTTCAAAGAGCTTGCACGCTCGGAGAGATGGATACAATGCAGTTGGGAAATAGTTCGAGATTTAATCAAAAGTGATGAGTGCAATTCCGAGGAGAACCTTATCCTCACAGCAGCAACTGACTGGATGAAGAAGAACAATCTTCACTCCAAATGCCAGATTGAGGACATCTTGTCCAACATTAGGTACCCACTACTCAACAGACGGGTGCTCTATCATCTGCAGAAGAACAGTGCTTTCAAAAACTTCCCCTGCGTGCAGGATCTGGTCAACACTGCCATCAAGTATCACGCTTTCAAGGACATTCCTGAGGCAAAGGATGACTTTACTGGCGTCCAGTTTCAGAGGCGTTCCGGCAGGCAGACGTCATCTATACCTGCCTCTGCTACTGCTAGTTCTCTGGCCTCAGAGACAGACTGTAACCTTGTACAGACTTACGGGCAGGCCTTTCCCCCTGCTCCTCAATGACATAGGGTAGGGTGATTCCAGGAAGCACATGAATTGTGTAGGGGAGGGTTGAATGGTTGATTCACATTGTAGAAGGAGACAAAGGTTGGGAAGTTTCAGGGCAGAATGATGGAGGTATGGGACATTTGAGGGAAACGTGATTAAGATCAACTAAACATCATGGCAGGATAGAAATTGGTGATGTGTGATTTTGGATAACAACATTATAAGGGAAGAAATTCATGAAGTAATAGCTTTTGAAATGAAGCATGAAAAAGTCAGGGGATCCTTGTCATTACTCCAATGCCAAAAGTTTAGGGGATCCCTAAAATAAAATATCAGAGGACCCCAGAACTCTTTGAAAACTAAAACATGGCATTTGGTACAATAAAATGTGCATAACGAACATGAAAATGGCAACAACAGAAATGGAAGGTAGGAGATGAGACACTGAAACAGGTGCCTTTGTACAAAGCGATCTTAGCGCTAAGGTGATCGTAACTCTCATACCTTAACATAGACTTACGACAACAACCAGATGAGTAAATGAAAGTGTAAGTTAGCAAGATAGAGGTCGAGAAATTCAAGGAAGGTTGCCATATTTGGAGGATTGGGGAAGTTACATCAGAACCCTGTTCTACAACACTGACTGGTACAGTTCCATCCTCTATAGAAGAAAGGCTTTGTTTGTTCAGGATGTAAATATATATTTGACGTAACTGCCATGCCCTGGTGGTAAGGTTGGTCAGCAGTCTCAACTCTCATACCTTAGGGCATCATGGTGATAATTTCGTCTATCGGCCCAGAGAACATATTTCAAGTGCAAGACCGAGGATGGGATGAAAAGTGCGCCTCAAAATTCGTGATAGAAATACACTACATGTTGTTTGTGTCAAGATTTGAGGGATTTATTTATTCCAGAGACATAAAGCATTCAGAAGGACTGAATTTTTAAAATATCTTTTCCGCCATTTTACGTCATCTTGTGAGTTATCCTTGTCACTTGTCACGCCACCAGGAACTGTAATCCGGGTTGCCAGGATGTCTACATCGCCCATGTCAACGGCAATATACATGACATTTATGAGGTTTTATTGCCTTTCACAGCAAAAACTGATACTGTCATAATCCAAGCTTGGCATGACTTACCAACATATTCATCACCAAAAACTTCCGTCATTGTCACAAGCTTATTGCTTGGTAGCACAGTTCACCATAATCTTATTTTACCACTTCTCTACTCATAATATACACAGAGTCTGTGACCTAAACCACTATCCTTAATTCCAGTGTAGCAATACTTCGGTCAGACTAGTAAACTTTGCAATGTTGTAGATACAAATGTGTTGACAATTATTCCAAAAGTGTGGGATAGTACGCTGAAACAGACTGTACATACTAGTGAAATGACTAGTCAGCAATTCTGGATGTCAGTTTCACATCTTTGCTATCTTCTTTATTCTCCAGCCAAGGTGGTAATGAATTCACATCTTTGTGCCATTCGGCTTTAAGAAATTGTAAATAAAATTTTCAAAACCATAAATAGCTTTTTAAACTTTTACACAGAACATTTTTCTTATCAATACTTAATTGGCATAATTAACCTAGCAAACATTACAATTATGTGAATGTTTGAATCTGAGCAGCGTTTGGGTATTGTATAATTTATGGGACCAAGCTAAAAGGTAACGTGCCAACATCCCAAGTTTGCTGTACATCTTTTGCTCAAGCAAGATGAAGACATGTTAGTTAGTTAGCTCCCTAATTTCCTGGTCTGAGTGTCAGTTGTTGACATTGAGGTTTATGTGATGCCATCTGTTAATGTCTATGTCATTCTGGAAAGAATGCGTGCTGCAAGAGGCCACAGTAAATGTTATTGTTTTAATCTGTGTCGTGTTGTGTTTTCAAAAGATTCAATGAGGTTGTTCCTCCACTCAAGTTTTGGTAGAAAGTCTGAAAAAATGCTCTAATTGCAGAGCCTGTGAGTGAATGCATTGGAGTGTAATGCCACATCTACCAGTACCTCAGTTATTTCACAGCATGTCAGTGTATGTGGGAGTTTGTTTGTTTGTTTGTTTGTTGTTTAATGCCGCACTCAGCAATATTCAAGCCATATGACAGCAGTCTGTAAATAATCGAGTCTGGACCAGACAATCCACGTAATTGGGATACAATGACATGCAGCAACCAAGTCAGCGAGCCTGACCACCCGATCCCGTTAGTCACCTGTTATGGCAAGGTATGAAGGAGGAAAGTCTGAAGTGATGCATGAGAGCGGGTGAGAACGAGGATTGTAATCGAGGCAAACGAGGGATTCAAAGCAATGACTAGCAGATCTTAAAACAGGGACACATCTCTGTGCAGGTCTGTTTCATGGGACCTTAGACCACTGGGACACATCTCTGTGCAGGTCTGTTTCATGGGACCTTAGACCACTGGGACACATCTCTGTGCAGGTCTATTTCATGGGACCTTAGACCACTGGGACACATCTCTGTGCAGGTCTGTTTCATGGGACCTTAGACCACTGGGCCACATCTCTGTGCAGGTCTATTTCATGGGACCTTAGACCACTGGGACACATCTCTGTGCAGGTCTGTTTCATGGGACCTTAGACCACTGGGACACATCTCTGTGCAGGTCTATTTCATGGGACCTTAGACCACTGGGACACATCTCTGTGCAGGTCTGTTTCATGGGACCTTTGACCACTGGGACACATCTCTGTGCAGGTCTGTTTCATGGGACCTTAGACCACAGGGCCACATCTCTGTGCAGGTCTGTTTCATGGGACCTTAGACCACTGGGACACATCTCTGTGCAGGTCTGTTTCATGGGACCTTAGACCACAGGGCCACATCTCTGTGCAGGTCTGTTTCATGGGACCTTAGACCACTGGGACACATCTCTGTGCAGGTCTGTTTCATGGGATCTTAGACCACTGGGACACACATGCCCCATTGAAACTGAATAACAGGTTTAAAAAGGTTTTAGCAATATAAATGCAATTTCATAGCAGGGGACACCAAATTGAATTCCTATGCATGACAAGCAGATACTTAAACCACTGCACATACCACTGAACCTGAAGCCTATGAGAGTCCCGCAGACCAGGGCCCACTTGCACAAAGCGATCTTAGCGCTAAGATGATCTTAACTCCCATACTTTAACATAGGCTTGCAATAGTCTTACCGCTAAGATTGTTTTGTGCAAGAGGGCCTGGGCCCTGTTCCACAAAGCATTCTTAGTGCTACTATTACATCATAAGTCTATGAGTATAAGAGTATGGGAGTTAGGTCAGTCGTATTGCTAAGAGCCGTTTTAGTATGGGAGTTACGATCATCTTAGCACTAAGATCACTTTGTGGAACAGGGCTGATGGATGCCAAGCATACATATTTACACAATACAAAGTAACAATAGTCAAACAAACATAAATACAATTAACAATTCAAGAAAAATCAAGAAATTAAAACTACAACAATTTCTGAAAAAGAAACAGATCCATACATTATACTTAAGCCCATTTAAAAAATAAGGATCAATATAAATTCCCCCTCTCAACAAAACACCCTTGTTCACAATCTAATCATTCTGAAATTCCATCCTAATCACTTGTTACATGTTCATGAAATCAAAGCTAACTTTGCACAGACAAGTCTTAGGTAACAGACTTAAATTTGATTTGTCCCTGATACAGAATATATGTCTGTCTCTGCATAACACAATTTGCATATGAAAACAGTCAACTGCTCTTTGTTCTAATATTTTGTTGCTGCTGTTGCCCCTAACAACAAGCACAGCTATGTTGTTTAATGGGAAGTAAATAATGCTACTACATGAATTCCTGTCCTGAGGGAGGCCGGCATGGTACCCTACCCAGACTACCAGGCGTCGTTAAACAATAAGATGTAAATGGCTGTCCTTAACCACTGCTGTCGGCACATCATGCTTTGATCCCTGTCACGCCCTGGATTGGTTGATGACTACTTATGTAGTGTGTACAAGCAGCCTGATTGGTTGATGACTACTTATGTAGTGTGTACAAGTCACCTGATTGGCTGTTGATTACTCATGTCGAGTCAGGCACTTACAGTGGTGCCAGTCTGTCCATAAACAAAAACTGCTGAAGTCAAAGTTAGTTTATGAAGCTAGTTCTCCCTACTGGCGAGATTGATAGATGATGTCATCTAGCCGTGGCGCGGGAGATATTGCAAAATATTAATCATCGCAATACAGCCCATTGTCTGCTTTTATGTAACCTGTCGAAAGCCATCGGTGGGTATATGCACCGTCCACAAAGCAAACGTACTTAATCCGTGTAATCACCACAAGCCTATTCCTGCTTCAGTCTCTCAACAAAAATAACTGAATAAATACTCAGGGCTAATTGGCAGTTCCACGTATATCTGTAAGGGGTCTGACTCGCTTGACTGGCTGCCACTGGCGTCGAGCAAAGCATGACACATTACTCCCAAACTTTTACATACATATTAGCCGGTATTAAAGTAAATCGTAGACAGCCTAATTACACAAAGGTCACCCCATGTCGGCAGGTTAAAAGCTAACATCTTTCAAGGGTAAACACATTCCTCCATGCCATTTTTGTTTTGCAAACACACAAAAACTATTAGATAAGCATATTTTCTCATGGGTCGGATTTAACATGCTTAATGATGGTAACATGAGGGAGATATGTTAATGATGGGGGACAGAGTGGCATACAATGAAGCCTTGCTGTACACACGCGTGAGAGTAGATTTTGGGAGGGAAACTGTCGTACAGCAGTGGAGGGTGGGAGAGGTTCACATTTAGTCAATATGCTCTTATGAGTTCTCTGGGGTGGATTACAATAATCTTCGTTGGAGACATAATTGTTGTTATCCCTAAAAGTTCAATGTCTTTTCAATACGTTGTACTGTTTGACAGTGTTACAAATAAAATGTTTTTTTCAGGCCAACAAGATTCAAGAATCAAGAATTTATTGTACATACCCTCATTCGGCAGGGTACATTTGGGAGAATTTTTTATTTATAAACATGAAAGATAAATTAATTATATGATAGACATGACAATGATGATGGGTATTATAATGCTTGAAGTCATGCCACCTACTCACTCACAAGCAACTTTTTGTGCACTTTTGACTGGTGTTTTGTTTGTTGTGATGTATACTTCAGCTATGTGATGGCGGTCTGTAAATGATGAGTCTGGACCAGACTATCCAGTAATTGAAAACAGGAGCATCGACCCACGTAATTAGGATACAATGACATGCATCTACCATGTTAACAAGCCTGACCAACCAATCCTGTTAGTCACCTCTTTCGACAAGCATTGTTACCTTTTATGACAAGCATGGGTTGCTGAAGACCTATTCTAACCTGGATCTTAACAGAAACTGTTAACTTGTGACTTTGGTACATTCCCTGATGAATACTCACAGCAAGGTATTTTGCAAACTACAGTTATATCAATACAAAAATCTACCTTCAACTTATAAAACGTTGAAACAATTCCTAAAGAAAAACATACATGAAAATTTACTTCTATAGTACTAATCTAAAGGGAATATGTTAGATCAATGTGACGACATACAGCACAGAATGATACTCAACAGAAAATGGTTTCAAAACAAATCAGGAAGCTCTAAGCCTGTGATATTACTGTGAAGTATATTGCATATCTATGGAGTTGATTCTGTCTGTCTCTAATCTTCAGGGTCTGACACAGTGTCTGCTTAAGGAGCCTCACAAGTGTCTTGAAGTATGACCTTGCATAACCTTCAACCTGTTTGTATGAACAAGTCAAGCTGACTGTCACATTCGCTGGGTTCAGCCATTTTGTGACCATATGTGCAACCACAGGCCAGTTTGATATCAAATTGTTGCATGTGGTTGTTCATTGTCAGGGAATATTTTGCAGTAGTGATTGAGTTGGGTTTGACGCCGCTTTTAACAGTATTCCAGTTATATTACGGTGTGTCAGCATAATGTGGGAGGAAAGCCCGAAGTGATGCAGGTCTCAGACGTTTACCACTTCGGTGAAACCCATGAGCACGGGTATGGTGCTGACAAACCTAGAAACATAATCGGGGTGAACCAGGATTCGAACCCACAACTATATGTTTCTGGCGTGCCCAAGGGACGTAACTCGCGTCTAATCGCGGCACCTAAGACGACTGGGCCACCCGTGCCCCCATATTTTGCAGTAGGTTTAGCAAGGCTGTAATAGCAAGACTGTCTCATGGTCTAAACAAGAAGAACTCTTGTTTTTATTAACCTGGTACATAACATAGGTGTACAACCTAACTTACAGACACGGGGCTCTTTCCACAGAGCAATCTCAGCGCTAGGGCTATCGTAAGTCAACGTAATCGTATGAGAGCTACGATTGTCTTAGCACTAAGATGGCTTTGTGGAACAGGGCCCTGCAGCTCTGAAGACACTGAAGTCTGATGTCACAATGATAGTCTCTCTCACAGACCCTGAACCATACCATTTTCCAATGAAGATGCCGGGGTAGAATAGGTCTTCAGCAACCCATGCTTGCCGTAAAAGGTGACTAGCGCTTGTTGTAAAAGGCGACTAACGGGATCGGGTGGTCAGGCTCGCTGACTTGGTTGATGCATGTCATCGATCTCAATTGTGTGGATCGATGTTCATGATATTAATCACTGGATTGTCTCGTCCAGACTCGATTATTATAGCTGGAATATTGCTGAGTGCGGTGTTAAACAACAAAACAACCAACCAACCCTCCTGCCCAGCCCTTAGTGTACAACATTCACTTATTCCTTCATAAAACAAGAATTCAAGACCCAGTGATTCACCAGATTCACAAACACTATATCAATACATCCCCTAATATTGTAGAAACACCATA